AGGAAAAACTTCTTCACCGAAAGGGTAGTCAGGCACTGGAACAGGCTGCCCAGGGCAGTGGTTGCGTCTCCATCCCTGGAGGTATTTAAAAGACGGGTAGAGGTGGTGCTCGAGGACATGTTTTAGTGGTGGACTTGGCAGTGCTAGGTTAATGGTTGGACTCGATGATCTTAAGGGTCTTTTCCAACCTTAATGATTGTATGATTCTATGATACTAAACAGCATGCTGATTATTTCTTGAGGGAACAGAAAGTTGCTGGTTGGCTTCAGCAGAATTTTAGTCCTGATTTGAGGTGCATGCTGCTTTCAGATGATGTGAACCTTCTAAAGATTAGAAATGAGGTGAAACCAACACGTTAATTTTAGCTCTCAGGGTTTCTCATGGCTTAACACTTATGTCAAGGATAGATAGGTTTTGCAAACATCTGCTCAGAATATCTCATTTTCTTAAATACAGGAAAAGCCCTTTGCACTTTGTCGGTTCTGCTGTCTTCTGTGAAGTCGCAGCCTTTTTGTAGTTTGTAAACTAGCTGTGAAGAGGTAGCCAAATAGTAGCATATATATATATTGGGGGGGTATATATATATTTATATATGTGCTGGATTTTTCTTTACATTTAAAAACTGAACAAATGTCTGAAAGAGTAAGATATCATCAGCCAATTAAGATAAAAAGAGAACTTGTGTAATGTGTGGCAAACAACGTAATTGAAGAGGCTTGAGGCAAGGTAGTGGAGAACAAAAAGCACACGGGAGAGAGGTGAGGGGAGAAAGTAGCTGGGGGATGGCAGGTTTCCGATGCTTGGTTCCAATCAGAAATACCTGTCACTGTGGAGCTGATCACTGAAATACTGGGGGGGAGCTGTGATCAGAGGCATGCTTTGGCTTGTGTGCCTCTCCTCAGTAAATTAGCTTTGCCTTCCTATTCCCAGTCGTTGCTAAAAAACAAGTTACACATAAGGTTAACTGGTTTTGAACTTATGGGATTGTGAAACCTCGTCAGCTTTTTCCCCCCAACCGTTGCCATTGGCTTCAGAGAGAAATTGGTACGGTGTTGGAGGTAAGTGTTATTTTGCCTTTTGCACATTGCAAAAGCAAGGATGTTCATTCAGGACACAAACTTCAGGTTGAAAATAATGTATTTGGGGCTGTCAGAATGGCCCTCAGTGGAAAGGCCAAGAAGCTATTAGTGGTACATGCGTTAAGTGTCAGCAAATAAAGAAGGAAAACCAAATGCTAATAAAAAGGTATTGTAGAGTTATAATTGGGAAGCAGAGATAGACATAGGGCCAAAAGGTTTTCTGGTTTTCAGACCTCTCTGAAAACTTCTACTGCACAATCCTAGAAACCAAACCAATCCTAGATTTACTGTTTTTTACTTTTATAGATTAGCTTTGCTTAGAAACTATGATGAGCATACAGATCTTACATTTCTGATGTCTGTGTGTGTTCTGTTTTTAGTGACAGGTCCCTGAAAGAATCCCATTAGCACCTGTGGGGCACGCAGTCCTTTAATTCAGCCCTGCATATTGGTCTGACGGAAGCACATACCGCAGGCTGCTTTTATTGTTTCGCTATTGCTATTTAGTCTATTAAAAGTATTTGCCCTGTCAGAAATGAATGGGAATATTTCCTCCAACCTTGGACTGTTTCAAAGATACTTTGTTTGGATCATCTGCCACTTTGGCCAATATTGTTTTCAAAATTGGAAGTGTCAGCAAATATTTCATTATTAAATGATGCCTCTTTTTAGTCTTTTTTTTTTTTTTTAAAGATGGACAGTAGGAAAACAGATGACCAAAACTGATCTGCACTGAACACAAGACTGTACATGGTGTGCTGACTGGGGGGAAAAAATGCATTTGCTGGCTTGCTAAATTGAGATAATACTTTGGATGTTGACAGACAGAAAAACAATTAGGGCTGTTGGCTGCTTTGCTGGCGTGTGCATTGTCACATGGAGAGATGGCTTGTTTTGTGCCAGTGAATCTGAACTGCTCAACTCTCAGCAAGATACTAAGTTAATTAATAAAGTTCCTTATGGCTGGGTTTGGAATGTGAGGTCTATTTATTTGTGAAGACAACTGGTCCAGGAATAAACAAAAGAGGTCACTGATGGGGCCTGTTAGGTGTTTTCTCAGTCGCTGTTATATTACAGGCTAGTAAAAGGCTTTTTTCTGCTTAGTTTATCGGTACATCAAAATGGTGTTACCTGACTGAAGTGTTTCTGTTATTTGTACACTGTGAATACTTGTGCGGATAGCAGTTTTCTTTGAAGTATGTCACTTTATGTGGGAAAATGTTTGTTTAAACTCTTTGACATCTTTGGGTTTGCAGATGCTTACTAATGTCTCAAAAGACTCTAGTTCTGTATACACTGGTATTGTTAAAAGCTATCACTTTTTTGTTGATTTAATTATACAAGCATATTTCAAATCTGGTTTTACTTATACATTTGGACTTATTCATCTTTCTTTTGTTTTCTAAATGGGTGCATCTGGACAGGGAAAATGGAGTGTGTGCTGGCCTGACTTTACAGCAGACTTGCTTAGTGCTTCTCCACTAAAGCTTATCCTGTCAATGTGGTGTGCCTGCCCTGGCTCTAAAGGGGCTCTGAGGTGTGTTGCTGCTGACTGCCGCGGCTTCTCAGGCGATGATCTGTGTCTGCTGGATCATGCGTTGGTATTTGTCAGCTGCAGAATGAAGTACTTGGTTGTAGAAGGGAAATCGTCTTTCCACTCTAGCTTGAGGGCTGCACTAGCACATCTTTTGATGCAGAAAGAGCTGTTCACTTCATCACAAGAAAGCAGCTCTAATTAGACTGTAAGACAGAAACTGTCCTAAATATTTGCTCCCCGAGTTTTTCCTGCACCATTTCTGTCTCCACATGCAGTTCTGTTAAATTCATCAGCATCATCAGATTCCACGTTTCTTGTGTAACCCTACCCTGCTTGTCTCTACTAATCTCCTCTAAATAACTTTCAGATTTCTTTTACTCTATTCCTGTGTTATCCATTTTCCTAGTACTTAATTCTTCAAAAATACTGTCTTTACTTGTTTTATGACTTTATCCATATTGGATTACCTGAATACATGAGCTTCCTTTATTTTAGTATAATGGTTTATTTTTACTCTATCTGCCTAAATAACCCAGCGCTCTCATTAAGTTTTGCTTTTGGTTTTTTGGTGGATTTTTTGGTGGTGGTTTTTTTGTGTTTGTGTTTGGGTTTTTTTTTATTTTAAGAAAAATCACCGTTATTGGTGGTTTGGTTTTTGTTTTGTTTTTGGGGTGGGTGGGGGGTTTGGTGTGTTCGGTTTTTGTTTTTTGTTTTGTTTTGTTTTTTTTATTCTTAAGACAATTCTTCTTGGAGTTGTTACTCTGAAATTTTTGAAATTCAGCATCTCAGCAGTTTCAGCTAGAAATTAGCTTTTGTGAGCCAGGATGCCGGTGGATCCGTTTATGCAGAAGAAAAGCAGCTCCTACAAAAGCTGAGCCCATAGCAAAACCACTAGAGTTCAGACCAGTAATTAATCTAGAAGTTAACACTAGATAAACCTTGAGCAGCTTGACTGTTGGTAACAAGACAGCAGAAGGCAAATGACTGATTGCTAGGTCCTAACCTAGCTCCTGAGGTTTCTAACTTTATTTCTGTGCTTCAGAGTTTTCCCAGCATTTGAATGCAGAAAGTGAGTTTTGGACTCATGGGATTTTTTTCTGTTTCAGAAAAAAGCGACCCTTTGAACATTTTTTCCATTTACAAACTTTGGGGATTTTCTTTTTTAAAATTAAATTGGGAGCAGGTACACCATACTAGCTGGTATGACTTTGGCCTTATTTCAGTGAAGGCAGTAGAACCATGCTCAAAAGCGAGAACTGGCTAGGCTAGATGGTATGGCTTGCTTTCTGGTTTAGTAGTCCTTGCAGTGCCTATGGAAAAACCCAGGATAACACTTTAGCCAGTCTGTTTCCTTTTACCAACACAGTGTTGGCAGGGGTTAAACCACCTCTACAACGCTTTCCCTGATGCATCTCCTGTTTGGGAGAAAGAAAGAAGCGGTCTGTCTGCTTGCTTCCCTTTCTGGGTTTTCCAGTGCTGGTACTAAATGCACAGGTTTGTCGGGACCAAGAACCTTCAGCTGCTTCTGTATGGAGAGCAAGGTGGGACTCTCACGGATGGCTGAATTAAAAATGTTTCCCCCTGGTGTTGCTGTGCCACTACCTGCTAGGAGTTATTGAACAAACACTGAAAGGATCTATAACCAGTCCCTTGAGACATCCAGGGAGTAGATAAAGGAAGAAGGGCATCTGTTACTGGAAACCGTTGTAAGTTTACTCTGGAGTTGTTTATTTAATGCCATTTCTTTTGGTGCTTTTTTTTGTAATAACTTTGAATATTTTAGGAAGTAAACTGTAATGAAACTTCTGGTATGTCTACAGAATGGGTAGACATTGCTAAAGCAAGGGATGTTTGATTCCTGTTGTTATTTTTAAAGAAAGGAGGCTGCGTTGCCTCTTCTACCCAATAGATGTTACGGTGAATTTGTTAACTTCTTGAATTGGTAATGCCTCACTATAAACACCAGGGTTTTTTTCTCTTCTAGCTGCTGAGAGAAATCTGCTGCATTATCTCTGGTATAGCTGCAAGTATGACTTGACTGATTTGCATTCATGGCTCTTGGATGATCTGGTGAACCATGGAGCTCAAAGTATGGGTGGATGGAGTCCAGAGAATTGTGTGTGGGGTCACCGAAGTCACAACATGCCAGGAAGTTGTAATAGCCCTTGCTCAGGCTATTGGTAAGTAACTCTGTCAGCTGGGTACTGGCAACTGGGGTGAAGGTTTTCTTATGAAGCTAAACTGAGGGGAGGTGGGGTTGCACTGAATATCAGTAGAGCACGAACATACGATGCACGGTGGGACAACCTTGCAGCGTAAACTTGCAGCCTTTGATTTTTTAACCTGCCAGAGGGAGATTAGAAAAGAAAGAAAATAAATGCTTTGAAATCTGTAAACTTTAATTCAGTACAAATTTATTCTCTAAATAATAATATGCTGCCATTTGTCATTGTAAATACAGCCTGGACTAAAGAAGGTGCTAAGCTGTCAGTGTTTTGAGTACCAAAGAAACAGAAAAGCAGTGCAAAATAATTGGTTGGCTTCTACAAGCTAATGATGTTCATTGAAATTATACACATTGTACATATCCCTAGCTATATTGGGAATAGTATAGGTCAATGAAATAGATCCTTCAAGTTCTGCTCGTACTCCTGCAGGCCACATAACTCAGTACGGCGGAGGGCAAAGTCTTTCAGGCTCCAATACAAGAAAGAACATTCCTTCAGTCTTGTCAGATCTTTCTCAGTGATTATGAGCATCCTGAATAAACCTCAACTTCATCCCTTCAGTACTTCCTACGCTGAATCTTATTTGCTAAAATTTTATAAATGGCTTTACATACTATTTAAATTTAGACATTAAAACCTATGCCTTACCTAAAATTAAATTCATAATTTAAGGGCTAGCTTTTGCATTTGTCAGTATTCCAGCAATTTTTCAAGATTGTATTAGCAGTCTGACTCAATTGCAAAATAGTAATTTTCTCATAAAAAACAAATGAGGGCTATGAATGTCAACTAGATGTTCTACCTATAAGCATGAAGTAAATTTCTCTGAATTTCTGTGATGTTTGTTTATTTAAATGTGTACTTCTGAACATCATTTCTATATACCTTCCTCTGCTGGAGTAGGACTGGCACTTTTTTGTTTTATATCTTAAGGGGATTGAACACAGTGCTAGCATGTGTATACTCTATGCATCAAATACCTTTTAAAGTTTCATTTAAAAATCTTAGAAAGTCAGTATGTCTCTAAAATCTTGTATTCAATGGTTAACTGTTAAGTGTGCTTTTACTGGTTGTGTTAGTTGCAGCTTTTCATTTAATGCTGATTTATGAATTGCTCGCTTCCGTGTCTCACTTTCTGCCTGTAGGTCTTTTTAAGACACAATTATGCTAGCATGATTATTTCCTAGCAATGATTAAGAAGTGTCACATGTTTAGGAAAAACAAATAAATAAACTTCTTGTGATAGACTGCTGTTCTTTACTTTGCTTTCAATATCTCTCTTATCCTGTTTCCTTTGCCTCCTCCCCCAAAACAAAAAAAGTCAGACTCCCAGTTCTAGACAAGAATTTAGTGTTCTCCAGTGTAATTTCTCTTTTTTTTTTCCTGTATCCTCAGTTATTAGCCTGAACTCTGAAAAAATTCCTTCGGTCTTGGAAACGCATGCAGTTTTTGTCAACTCAGCAGACTGCCTTTTCTGTAACACGTCACCAGTTCATCTGGGGCATGCGACTCTGGTTCCATGTGGAGATAAATTTCAGTTGCAACCAGCCCCAAAGTAAGATAATCCTTTGGAAATTCCTTCCTGAGGCAAATATCCTCTCTAGAAAACACCTAGAGTAATTGTGCTCCAGTTTCTCACTGGGGCTGCTAAGACAATATTAAACACCATATAAATTATCCTTGCGTGTCTTTGGCAGATAGGGCTTTTCCAACCCTCCTGTCAGGCCATTCATCAGAAAAGCAGCCATATGCCTGCTCCTTCGATTTGGCTATAGGTACCAGGTTACCAGGAATATCTGTCCCTCGAATTTGAATGGGAATCTATTAAAATGTATCCCTCTAGCTCTCACCTGACATTTGGTGGTGGAAAGTAGCCAGTCTTAGTTGGCTTCCTCCTTGGCTGGCTCTGATCTTTTCTACTTTGCAGTCTGGCTCCCTCAGCAGTCGCATAGCTTAGCAGGACTCAATATTATTTTGTCTGTCTTTCGGTCTGTCTGCAAAGTTTTTTGAGATGCTCCTTTTGTTTTATTGTGTCTTACAGTTTATTGCTAGGTCCTTGACTTAAAAATACAACACAGACACAGAATGCAGTCGTCTTTACTGAGCCTGAAATATGAACTGCAATAGGTATATTATTTGTGTTGAAGTGCAGTGTCTGGAATATCTGCAAATTAACTTATTTTACAGCTGTATCCACTGAAGAAAGCACAAGCCAAAGATACTTGGATTAAGAGATCCATAGTTCAAGAAGCTTCTCATGGACAAACTGAAGCTGCCGCTATTCTAGAAATATGAAAAGTAAAGCTTTACAATGTATTTCAAAAACAGGAAAATCAAAATTATTATAGAATGGGCTGTGGTTGGAAGGCACCTCTGAACATCATCTAGTCCAACTCTGCTACTCAAAGCAGGGACGGCTAGAGCAGGTTGCTCGGGACCACATGCAGTCAGGTTTTGAATATGGCCAAGTATGGAGACTCCAACACCTCCCTGGGCTACCTGTTTCGGTGTTCAGTCACTCTCGCAGTAAGAGGGTTTTTTCCTTATTTTTAAATGGCATTTCTTGTATTTCAAGAAACTTCTTTTGATAAAACGGAGGGCCATGTCTCCTGATCTCCCACTGTGATAAGAGCAATAAAAAGGTTTCCATCTATTTACTTTCCAGCTCTCCCCTCATGTCATAGAAGTTCAGTAATTGCTTTCTTCAGGATACGGAAGTGTTCGTTTTTTGTTTTTTTTTTTTTTTTCATGCAAAGACAAGGACTTACGTTCTAGGGCTATTTTAGCCAAACAAAAATAGCAAGTCATGCTGGGTTATGCCCCTTTGTAAGAGATTCTGTCCCATTACCCAAAGTGTAGCCTAATCCTTTGGCAGGCAGAGTGCTATCACTTAACTTGCCTGACTAATGTTCCTTGACCTGTTCCTTACAAATTGATATCTGCCATTATTAACTCTTTCAGTGGAAAGGCCTGCATGTCTCTTCCTTTGAGGCTGTACTCCTGATAGATAACATTTGTGTTACCTGTTCTTGTCCTATGATCTCATTCCCCTGTTGCCTGTCTCTTGATCGTTGAGGAACTGATTCTACCCCAAGTTTCTCTACAGATTAGGTTTTTTAAAATTTTTGTTTGGCTTGAAGTTAAAGGGTTTGAATTAAATCTCAAATAAACCTCATTCTTTATAACAAAAAGAAAAGAGAGAGTTGTCTCTTTTGGGGATCCCAGCAAAGCTTATTTTAAAAATGTATGTATATATTTCAATGAATGTGAGAGAGAATAATATCACTTGTATATAATTTTGGATGCTGTAGTTGATTGTTTCTCTAACTTAGAAGGAGTTAGAAATGCCTTTGCTGGAGGGAGGGTCTCTGGAATTCTGTTCAAGACAGGCATAAAACTGTCCAGTTACAAGTTTCCAGAGAGTGAAATCACCTCTCACTGGGACCTTGAAGAACACTTGATATTACCTTTTATGAGTTGTATCCAGGGCTGCTTGCTTGCTTTTTTTTTTTTTCCCCTCCTTCTAACTCAAGCTACTTGTGAACTACAAAGAGAAGGTTTGGCCTTGTAACACAAATAAGAGAAGTGATCATTTCATCATGAGAAACTAAGGCCTCACCAAAATGTAAAAATACACCACAGCGCACAGTTTAAATGGAGAACCATAAGTCTTGTTTTAAAAATATTTTTGCCAGGAGAGATGAGCTAGATTTTATCAAATCCGTCATTGTCTATTTTAAAAATCTGTATTTGACAGCAAATTCTGGCTGTTTTTCTGCTTCCTCTAGCTTTTCTGTGCATTCTGTAAAAATCATGCCAGAATGGCTTTATATAAATGTTGCTTGCTCATTTTGATTCCTTTCCTTAATTTGGGCAACTGAAAAAGAAGTAAAAAAAAAAGTTACTGACACTTTTCAACGGCATGTATGATGAGATGGTTGGTGAACCCGGTCAGAGGTCTGTTTTGCAAAGTAGTATATGGGCTTATAGCCGAGGGTGTGTGAGCGTAGCGGCTCCTCTCAAAAACTCATTGTAATACTGAAGGGAAAAACAGATGGTGTCCTAAAAGAAAGTGAGCTAATCATGTTAGCTTGATAGTTCAGGCAAATCTAGTTTAACTACAGAAGATTTTTTTTTTTTTAAATTTGCTTTTACTGGTTGTTTTCCATTCAAATCTAAAAAATAAAATCTTCCAAAGGAACATGGTGATGAATAGCACAGTCATAAATATACTTACCCTGTTTCTTCAGAAGTACTCTCCCATTTACAGCCCCTGTGAGGATTTTTACTGCATTTGTTGTGATTTCTTTTCCCTCTGGAGACTAGAGTGCATCTTCTGTACTCAGAATGACATGTTTGTTTCCTAGAAAGAGAATATTTCAGTCTAGAGATGTGAAGCTTGAATTTCTTACCAAAGTGCACTTTTGTTTTCTGCCCTCGCGTAATTTTCTGTGGCTAATAATTAAAATGGCAGACTTGCTTTAAATAGTGCCGTGGATTTTGATTTTCTGGCTGTAGCACAATATCAGGAGAATAGGAGCAACACTTCACTGAACAAGAAGTACAACTGTCTCTTTTTAAAATTAAACTAATGCAGCTGTCAGTTTTTTTATTGCAGTTGAGTATTTTTCCTCAAAGATAAATGGGCTGTATTTATGAAAATAGAGCACGGATTTGTTCATGCTGTTTCAAACATGCATTACAGTGTTGTGAGGCTCAGCCAGAGTTGTAGCTGGAAAAATCACACCACTTCGCTGTCTCTTCTTATGTTCGTCCCTTCTTCCAAATAATTTCTGCTAAAGCAAGTGCCAGAGCTGGCTGTCAGGCACTTCGAGAAAGAGAAAAGAGTCTGAGGTTGAATTGAATCGTAGTGCTGAGTCTGAAGAGGATTAGAAAAAGGGCACAATTCCTGTTGTGTACAAACTGAGGATTTGAAACATGGAATTAATCAT